ATTAAAATGCTATCTACTCAGGGAAGAGGACCAAGTTATCTGTCCTCATCAGTATACACACCAACCAGGACTCTTCCCGAATGATGTAAAAAGAATTCTCTCAAGTAACTCAAGGTTATAGGATGACTCTTCTACCCAGTGGCTTCTGCACAGGCTGTGCTCACAGTCAAGCAACCCACCACCCTCTTTCATGCTTTCCTACTGTGTGCTCTGTGAAGAACAACTGCTGGCCCCAACCTCAGCTCATCAGCTGTCCAGCCACGGTCTTGAAATCTTGCTTGTATGAGCCTCCTACAAGGTTCACTCCAAACAAGACAGAATGCTCAGACACAGCTGTGGGCATTCACAGCTGGGCACACACCATGGGTGCCTCTTGACAAGAATCAATTTTACATCTAAGGGTGATCCCGGAGGAGGGAAAAGAAAAACAAAAATAATTGCAGACAGGACCAGTCCCTTAACTTGTGGGACCCAGCACATAACGAAAACAGGTTCCCCTGCTCGAACAGTATTCCAACCCATCAGACATCACGGTGTGTGTTGGTTCTTAGACTATCATGACGAACAAGACAGGCTACTATAAGAAATTCTGTGAGCAAATCTGACGATCTCAACATTCCTAGAGGGGGCAATTAAGGAAGAGACAGGAAAAAAAAAGTTTTCAAAGTGACTTTTCAGAAGATGGATGGGAGCCAAGCTGGGAGGAATGGAAGGGACCAGGCTGGGCCTGACTGTGTACTGAGGAGACACGGTACTTCCAGGGAACAGTCACTTACAGGTCAGAGGTGGGAGTGAAGGCAGGAGAGAGACGGGGGAGAGAGAGAGAGTATGACAGGGAGAGGGACAGAGCAAGGCCCAGCTGACTTTCAGGGGTGTCACCAACCAAGGAGGGGAGGCTGACTTCATCTTGAAGACTGTGCAGAAGCGTGTCAGTAAAGGCTTGGCTCCAGGCACAGCTTCATTTTTATCACGTGACTCTGCCAGCAGGAGGCTGCTTCTGACAACAATTTAGACTTTTAAAAGGTAGCATAAAGCAGGAGTTCTCAAGCCCGGAAGGAAGAAGCTGAAACACAACGGAAGAACTAAAGGGCCGAGGAGCTGGCACGACAGTAAGGTGCCTGCTTCCCCAGCGTGAGGCCCTGAGCTCCACCCCGCACCATACAACAGTCAGGAGTGCCGGGAGTGCTGGGGATCCCGGTGGTGGAGGTGCAGGACAGGGGACCCTGCTGCTGGCCAGCCCATCTACAGCCGGGTCAGTGAGATTCAGGCTCAGGGAGAGACCCTATGATGCAAACCTGACAACCGGAATTTGGTTCTCAGGTGGAAGGAGAAAACTCTACAAAAAGAAGAAGACTCTACAAAACTGTTCTCTGCCTTCCACAGGCAAGCTGTGGAGCTCCTGGCTCTACCTCACCCCCCCACGCCCCATCTTTTCTGAGAACTCAAGAGAAGATGGGATTATCTTGAAGTAGGTTACTAGAGGAGGACAGAAATAAGTGAGAACATAGGGAAATTGGACCGACTCCTCGCCAGGTTGTGGTACTGGAGTGCAGGACAAGGTGGGTATGATGGGGAAGGAGGAAGTGGAAATGGGAGGGGCTGGGTGAAGGGCAAGTCAGACTGGACTTTTAGTATAGAGTGCCAGTGCTGACATACGGGTGCAGACTTTTGGCTATCAGAGAGGTGTATGAATATGAAAACTGAAAGGAGGCCAAGACAAAACCCTTCCATTAGAGACTTCCTGCATACAGTGATGACTGAGCTCCCCGAAGTGGATGTCAATGTAAAGATGCTGCACAGTGTGGGGTTACAGAAATGGAGGGCGGGGAGCCAAAGGAGGAGGAATTGGGGGCAAAAGGCCAATGATTAAAAACAAAATAAATCAGGTTTAGGAAAATGAGTGGACTCTTAGCTTCAATTACTACAACAAGTACCTCAAACAGGCTATTTATAAGAAAAAGCTCTGAGTTCACTGTTCGGTGGTTCAAAATTGTAGGACTGAACCCATTATTAAGTCTCTTGTGAGTGTGGCAAGGGATGGCAGGGGTGCGAGCTGGAGAGAATGCTCACACTCTGACCAGGAAACAGAAGGAGCAGGAAAAGGCAGAGTACCACAGTCCTTTGAGGCTGTGCTCACTGGGTCTCACAGGGTAAAGGTTCATGGTACCTCCCAACAGTAGCACCTGGGGACCAAGCCTTTGCATGTGGACCTAGGGGGGCACACCCCCAACCACAGCGACAAGGGAACGTTTTTAAGAGGGATGGCGAATGCTGGCTAATAAGCTAGGGCTGAGTGGTGTCCCATGGCTGTGAGAACATGGGTGGCAATGCGGACCTGGCCAGAGGAGCCCCAGGAAAGCTCCACACTCTGCGGTGCGAAGATCCTGTGTCTACTGGAGCAACCGTGATCCAGGGGGAGGGTGTCAGTACATCCAGGGCCCAAGGAGATCGAATCCAGACAGTAAGATTAACAAGCAGAATGGAAAACTCGTTCACATACTAAGATGACTGCTACTTATCCAAAGCCCTTGAAATGATTAGATTTTGAGTGCATTAACTCAGATCTAGGGAATTATGACTGATCCTGGTATGCTTAAACTCAGCAATGTAGCAAGTCTAGGAGCTCTTTTTACTCCGTCCCACCCTTAAACGCTAGATAAACCTGAAGCCCAAACCACAGTTGTTTCATGTTACTTATTCCTGCTAAATAAATATTACTCTGTTCACAGATACACCCCACAAACACTATAAAATTCTGTAATCAGAAGGACACCTGGGGAGCATAAATTCTCACATTCAAACCAAACAGATCAGACCTCAAATGGCAAATGAGCTATAGTCTCTAACACATTGGTTTCTCCCAACACTGTCCAAAGAGCCCTATCCAGTTGAAAATTCTTGCTAAGAATCCCAAATACCAATGTATGTTATTGTTACATAGACTATGGCCTTAGTATTAAAAGAAAATAATCCATCCCATAAATTAAAACAACGATCTTCGAGTCTGTGGTTCTGCAAACCATGAAATCAAGAGTAGGGTTCTGTAAGTAGTAAATGACTATTTTTATCCAAGAAGGACGGTGCTGGACCCAAGCAAGGCAAGCAGGCTTGTGCCGTGCAGGGAAGGACACTGGAGATTGCTGTGGCTTCTGCTTCAGGAGAACTGGTTTCTCCACAGTTGGTCTGAGCACGACTTTCTGGGGCAGAAGGAACAGACTCAAAGGACTACAAAGCAAGCTCAGGGTTCTGAATCAAAGCATTCGTGTGGACTACATATGACTCCTTAAAGGTCATCTCCTATTCATAAATGACCTCACTACAAATGTAACTGCCATGAGGGTCGGGGCTTGAAGTGAAAGACTGGGAATTGACAACCATGGTTTATAATAGAATATTACCATACATTCCACACTGGAGACAATCCAACCATTCTAATAGACAGAAAATATAGGGGTGAGATTTCACAAGACACCCTAGAATATGGGATTTTAGTAGGGTTCTCAGAGAACACCCTACACGATATGAAACCAGAAAGGGCAGTGAGTAGGGTTCAGTATCCCCCAAACCAATGATAGCCTCACTTCTGTCCCTTCCACCCCTACAGTCCAAAGAAGCACAAGCCCCTCCTGTGGTCTCTGGTCCTCCCTGGGCTCATGGTCTTGGGTTCTGTAAGAATGCAGGCCGAACAAGCCATGAGGAGCAAGACAGTAAGCAGCACCCCTCCATGGCCTCTGCATCAGCTCCTGTCTCCAGGTTCCTGCTGACTTCCCTCAGCATAAACTGTGTCCTGAGAGTTTTAAGATAAAATCAACCCTTTCATTCCCAAGTTACACTTCGTCATGGTGTTTGTCACAGCAATAGAACCCAGACTAAGTCATCACTTAAGTAATTAGCCACAAATAGTACTTCTACCTTCTCATGTCAGCTTTCTGAACTCTTACAAGCTTTTAGCCTCTGCTGCAGATTCGAGTCAACATGGAATCAGAACACATTCCACTATTTTATCATGTGGAATACTCTGAAAGGAAAGGACTCAAATGACTTCACCTGTGAAAGCCTCTGGGTTGTCTTCAGAAGAAGAAAAGGGGGCCGGCAGGAGAAAGTGAGCCCTTTAAACAATGACTTCCCAGGTTCATCTTTCAAAACAGGAGCCAAACCATGAATTACACTAACACTCTCCCCGGGAAGAGCCAATTTTCGAGTGAGTAAAACAAAGAATTTATTCAGAGATGTCTTGGAGGCTTTTCCTTCTCAAAGATAATGATAGCAGGAGGAGTCCAGATAGGGTGGAGTGGCTATGGGTGAGGAGCCCTTTACTGGGATAAACAGCAAGGTACGGGACATAAATCGTCAGTAACCAATGAAGGATTTGAGAGAGACCACTTTTGTGTGTGTGTGCTTTTATAAACCGTTTCTGTGGGGTACTTTAGGATCCCAGGACAGCTAAATGATGATGTTATACAAACTCAAAGCTGAACTATAATGCAGGACTCCACAGAGAAGCCTCCATTTTCAAGTGCTCCCGAAGTAGATTGATGACTACGAACACTGGCCATGGCACCCTGTCCTTGCAGAAGGCTCTGTCACAGGAACACTTCTACCCACCACAAACAACACCCCAGCTCCGAAGGCTTCCACAGAAACATCAGGGATGCGAGCATTATGAGCAGTGTGAGAAGAAAATAGCCATGAATGGGAAGAAAAGAAACTTCTAGCAAGTAGCTGACAGAACCACCTCCAAGGCATTCATCATCTGCAGAACAATGACTTGAAACTTTAGATCCAATTGTTATTTACATCTGAGAGAACCTGATGCAGCTTAATACAAGGCTGAGGCTCCAGCCTGAGGTGGGTAAAGGCCATGGCTGCTCACCAAGGCAGAGTCGCTTTTTGTGGGGGTCTACTATGACTTTCAGTCTGATTAGACCTGGTTCCTCACATTCCAGAACCTCCATCCTTGTCCCTTTGCTTGTCTGCATCAGTGTTAAGTCACTGTCTTAGCTCTTCCCATGTGTTTTCCTCTACCTCCCTACTCACAGGAAATCTACTGCACTATTTGAGTTTTGCAGGGATCGGAATGAAAAAGGCCCCCAAAGGCCAATAGGGAGTGGCGCTATTAGGAAGAATGGCCTTGTTGGAGGAAGTGTGTCACTGGGGGGTGGGCTTTGAGGTTTCTGAAGCTCAAGCCAGACTCAGTGTAGCTTTCTCTTCCTGCTGCCTGCTGATCCAGATGTAGAACCCTGGGCTACATGTCTGCCTGCATGCCACCATCCTTTCCACCATGACAATAACAGACTAAACCCCTGAATTGTAATCCAGCCTCAATTAAATGTTTTCCTTTATAATGGTTGCTGTGGTCAGGGTGTCTCTTCACAGTAATAGGATCCTAACTAAGACGAATTTTTCCTCTCAAAGTTCTTTTCAAATAAAACGACAGAAACAAAGATATCCAACCAAAACCTTGCACACTATTACTTCTATCTTATAAGTTGCCTCAAACAATGAAAACCTTTGAAAATAATACAGTCATTGTCACCTCAAGGATCTAAGTGATCTAAGTTTTAATCCAACTGGCCACTACATAGAGGGTGATGATTTCTGAGATAATCACACAGAAATTAAAGAGCAAAGCACATACAAATCCCACTGAGGTGGCTGGATCCTCTGCTGGGAAAGCTCCCATGCTGTGGAAGACCCTCAAGGGCATTTCAGTAACACTTACGAATTTAGTGTAATTTCAACTTGGGGCTCAGAGCAAAGTGGCCTTGGAGAGGGCACTCACCTCCTTTCCAGTGGGCGCCCATCACTGGAAATGCTTCTAGGGATGTTGGCAGCTCTTTCTGGAGGGGGCATTTTCCCATCTCCCTTCCCAGTATTCAGCCGTGACGTCATGGGACTCTGCATCTGGGATGGAACCTGGGGTGAATGAGCACCCTTGCTGGCATTCCGCTGCCATTTGTTATTATTCCTGAAGGGAAACTTGAACTCATAGGAAACACCATCATTCATCTTGTACTCCATCACTGGCATGCGGTAGGTTTCTGAGCAGCTCCTGTTAAGAGGAAAGACCAGGAAAAAACAAACAAAACAATGAATACTGTCTTATCATGTTGGTGAAGACACACTGATTATCATTAACATTCTAGAAACCTGCTATGGAATGTTGTTCTGTATGCTGTGAATGTGTGTTGCTCTGATTGGTTGATAAATGAAGCTGTTTGGCCAATGGTGAGGAAAAATAAGGTTAGGCGGGACATTCCAACTAGAGAGAGAGGAAGAGAAAGACAGAGCAGAGGAGATGCTGCTAGTTGTCGCCAGGAGAAGCAAGATGTAAAGTACCAGTAAGGCACAAGCCACGTGGCAAAATATAGAGTTATAGAAAATGGGTTAATTTAAGATGTAAGAGCTAGTTAGCGAGAAGCCTGAGCCATTAGTTTAAATGTTTATACTATCGTTTAAAAATAATATAAGCCTCTGTGTGTTTATTTGGGTCTGAGCAGCTGCGGGCCCAGGTGGTACTGGAGAAAACTTCCAGCTACAGAAACCTCTTTTAATCTTTGGGCCTTGCAATTCTCCTTTTCCAACCTAGGACCCCAGAAGAATCACACAGGCATTTTCCTTTACTCAGTGCCAAGTATGGCATCTGAGAATGAGGAGTCCATAAACACCCGGAGCCCAGGTCTGCTGGGAACATGGAGAACTGAGGAGGAAAGGCAGCTGGAAGGACCCCAGAGCAGGCAGCTCAGGGCAGACAACAAGCAGCTCTGCCAACTGCGCTGGGAACTGCAACTGGGGACCAAAGGGAGGGCAACTCCAAGTGAGGGGGGATCCCAAGGGCCAAGAAATTAAGTCGGAAAAGATCCCAAACCTAACCAGAGAACCAAATTTAGCTTAGGAGGGAGAAAACCAATTACAGAAATGCAGCAATTATTAAATCCCTCAGGAAGACCAAGACAATCTGAAACCAGACTTCATTTCTTTCCAAAGGAAGGCATCTCCCTTCCTGAGTGACATCAACGGCCATAGACACACTTCCTGCCACTTCTGCTCTACCTGAAACCTCAGTCCGCAGGAAGCAGGGAACCCACGCTCCATTCTTCATATCTAAGCAATGAGAGGAGATTCTGTCTGTCATTAACCAGGCAGACAAAATCTATCCCTACTGCAATATTAACCCATGCACCAGAATTCACTGTTGAATAGAATGATTTCCTTTTATACAGAGACCGCAAGGACTGGGAAACAGGAGGGAAGACTTGGAAGGGAGGGTGAACAGAGCAGCTGTGAAGAGTCACTCATGAGGAACTTTGGAGATACTGTAGCCCAAGGCAAGTGGGGTGAGCTGCATGGGTGAGGCACAGTTGGAAGTTGAATTTTAGAAAGGAAAACAAAATTGGTGCAACTGATTTAAGATGCTTTGTTTTACCCAAAATTGTATCATTTTAACATATAGTTAACACTGAAAAAGTACTGAGGTATTTTATGTTCTTCTGAATCTCATGTAGTTTGCAGGAAACCAAACTGCAGCCACCTGCCATTTCCTAACTGCCTTCATGGCAAGGGAACACCTCACTGGCTTTCTGGTCTCTTACCTGTTTCTGCAAACTCTAAGAATGACAGATGGAGTCAAGGGTGGGCAGTACTCTGAAGGACAAAGCTAATGGCTGGCTTTAATGCCATGTGTAAGTAGTCATAAAAAGCTTTCTGTGGTCTCCTCCAGTAAAATGTGGTGGTGACTGTAACTATAAGACAGAATACAGGAAGCAGGATGGAAGCTAATTTAGCCAAACTACAGCAACTCCATGACGAAGGTAATATACTGCACTACCCTAGGGTTATGGAGCACAGAGGCCCAGACAGCTTTGCACAGCCACAAGGAGGCAGAAGAGGTCTTAATGCACAGAATCAGTGTACCTGTGGCTCATCTTACTCTAGTTCCTAACTAGAGAACAGCACTCTAATTCCCAAATCTCCTCACCCACAATGAATCACATCTCACTCAAAGCACAGCCTATGACAAAAAGGAGCAGCATCTTTTGTAAACCCTATGGGAACTGTCAGCAGGCATTACTGTCTCAGGGCTAAATGTGACCAAAGGGGCCAACTGAAACTTAATTTTAAAAAGCCTAATGTTTGTGAACAGCTTGGTCCCTAGAAGCTGTGACTTTGGCTCCAAAGAAACAGGCAACTCCTTTCAATGGGAGCTCATTTAGAGGATGAGATTTGGAGCAGACAAGTTCTAGCTCAAAGGCAGCATGCTCTCACTTTCAAAGCAAGAAAACACTTTGCAACCCATTCCTATTTAAAAGATAATTTGATTCTCAAATCTCCCACAAGAAAAATAATAGTATTAAAGATAATTGGGTCTTTTTATGTAACTGTCTTAGCTCTTGAATGGCCCCTGACTGCAGAGCAGCACCCTGCAGAATCAAGCTGCACCCCCGGAACACCTCATCTAACCCGCGAGCCAGCTACTCTTTATCAAGTGGACGAGCTCGAGTCTCAGAGGTCACAGACACTGGAGATGTGACGGAGGTGAGGCGCATCTTCACCAGTGGGAGTGGGGATGGATGAAGACACTCAGGAAGGGTCTCTGACGGGACCTCCGAACTGCTCTCACTGTGCGGTCCTCCTGGCTATCTGGTTTCTCTGTGGGCAGCACCCACACCTCCCATTCATCTCACCATTTTATTAAAAGATGAAGGAGCCATAAGGACACTGAGGAAATGAAACAAAACCCTGAAGGCACATAGTAGGAGCTCAGAAATTTGGCTTTGCTTTCTGTCCCTTCTCTTAAACAAACTGTAGTTTGGAAGCAGTTCATGGAGAGGTCTGCCTGTTTTCTAATAAAGAAAGGGTCCTTAATTTTATATTTGTTGCTTAAACATAACTTCCATTTTCTAAAAGCTGCCCTTCACAATGAATGTGCTCACACTTAAGGTCTACCTGACATATGGTCACTGCATGGCTGCTGCTGATGCTTTCAAGGTCCTTGCGACCACGAGAACCAAAGAGCGGTGGGTAGCGAGCTTTCAGGAGGACTGTCCTACCTTACCTACAGCCCTAACAAGAAGGCTGATGAAGTAGAGAGACTGCTCAGAGAACAGAGGGATTAGTTGCTAGGAAAACAGCAGTGGGAGTGAGAAGCGCGGAGGAGAAGAGAGAAGCCAGCAAGGTGTTAGTGCTTCACGGTTCCCTTGGAAGCCACTTCTGCAGAAGTGAGCAGTTCTGCAGGCCTCCGACGGCATCTGCACAGCGCACAATCTCCCACCTGCACAGAGGGGTGGTGAGGGCTACGGCTTAGCACTTAGCCTTCACCCGGCTTCCTGGCTCAGCAGCTGACAACAAGTGTGGGCAGCAGAGTGAGCTTCAGGAGGATGGGGGTGGGGGTCCACTGGAAGACAGATGTGGCTCCTCCACTCGGGTGTGTGGGAGTCGCCTGCACTGATTTCAGAACGCGCTGTCCCATCTGGCCCAACTCTGCCTTTACAGATATCACGGTGGTAGCTTCAAAGAGGCCAGTGGGAAACGTGACACCACTAACCAGGAACTGCACACATTTACCAGAACATCTACGACTTACACCAACATACAGGGCAAGGGTCAGTGCCAACCTACAGAGCAGCGTTTATACCCTGGATCCTGATGCCAGAGGAGCTTGAGAAGTCCCTTGGTGACTTTTTTGGGTAAGACTACCATTTCTTTGTTTGTTTATGTACTGTGGGGTATGTCACTGTGCATGTTTGTCAAGGTGGGATCTCTTTCCACCATGTGGGACCCAGAGATCAACCTGAGGTCATCAGACTCGGTGGGAAGTGACTGGACTCACTGAGCCATCATACTAAGCCATTTGGTTTCTTAAAACCATGAATAATGGTCACAGGTTTGCCAAAAGAGTTAAATGCATTAATTCATGTCCCAGTGTTGTCGTGCCCCCCCCCCCCCCCCCCCCCAAGGCCTGGAACACTGAAGTAAAAATTCAGCCAATGATATTTCCGGACACTCCAAGGA